AGCACTTGGAAAGTGGGGGCGGGACAGCAGAGTACAAAGTCACCCTTAGCTACACAGTTCTAGGCCAGCCTCGGCTCCGGGGAGACCCTCTCTCAAAACACAGCACACAAGAACAAATATGAAAGAGTGCTTTCCAATGAGTTGTAAGATACTATTTGAAAAGTAGCCTAGAGCACAGAGGGACCATCGTAGGGTAGACTTGGAAAGCTGAAGTAGTGGGAAAGAACAATGAGTTCAAACCTGAAAATGCCTTCCCAGGTAAAAAGGAAAAGAATATGAAAATCGACAAAAAGAGGAAAATCAAAACAGGTGATGCAGAGTTGGGAGAGAAGAAAATGTGATAAGAATGTGTTGTATGAAAAAAGATTAAATATAATGGAATTACCTAAACAAGAAAACCAAGGCAAGGAGGGAAATTGAATATAGGGCTGAGCATTAGAGCACACACTTATAAACCTAGCATTCAGGCTGAGGCAGGGGGCCACTCTGGGCTGCATAGGAAGTATAAGGCCCAGGATCTAGACCCTGTCTGAAAAGACAAAACCGAACAAACAAATAAAAAACATACTATATTCCTGGAATTTTTCACCCAGAATGACTAAGACTAGTTCAAGTAAAACTAAATTTTTTAAAAAATGTAAATGTCATAGACATCTCAATATTTTGCATGTGGTTTACTTCTGAAGGAAAAAAGTCTTAGCTTGCCTGTGAAGTATGACATGCTTCATGATGTGAAAAAGTAGCAAATATTTAAGATCCCCAGAAAGGAAAAATAGGAGCCAAGAACATTGTATCTGATAAAAACTTTTCAGTATAAAGAGTCCAGATAGTTTTCAAAATCCAGGAAGTAAGAAATACCATTTCCATGGTCCCTCCCTGAAGAACTTGCTAGAGAATGAGATTCAGACAGCCGCAGTGGTGACTGGAGATCAGTTATTCGTAGAACCGATACTAAATGAGAGTTAAGAGGGGGTGCATATGTAATACTTACAGGCTTGGATAATGTGCATCTCTAATGCAACCACTTCCTAAAGTGAGGAAATAAGAAAAGTGTATGGACACAGCTTTAACAGCTCTCAGTGATTACGGTGGTGGCAGTGTTGATGTAATAATTAATTCAAGGCTGTACGATATAAAGGAGTATAAATGAGTAATTGTCTGATAGCCTTACTCTGTCCTATCTTTGAGAACACGGGTGTAACTCAAAAGAGTTTCAGTTTAAAAAAGGAAGTAACAGCAAGCAATGCTGTAATCCTGATATAAACACATGAAAATGTATATTTCATAATAAGTGCATAGACCTATGCTTTAGCCACTGAAAAGACTAGAAACAAAGAAGCCTCGTAATAAGCATACATATTAGCCTAAATTGTGGCACTGAAATACCATTCCCAGCCTGGCACAGTGGCACTGGCCTGAAATTCCAACACTCGGGCAGCAGGTAAAGACAATGCAAGGTCAAAAGGCCAGCCTGGTCTACACAGTGGGGTCCTGTCAAAAACTAAAGAAAAAACATTCTCATCAAAGGAAAGCAGAATATCTTAGGGAAATAGCTGCTTCGAGTTCTGAAGGGAAAAAGTCAAGATCAGATTAGATAATGTGTTGAGAAAGATCATTTCCACTAGCCAGTTCGACTTCAGAAAGGGTAGTGGGGATCAGGAATGGAGCTCAGTCACAGAGCTCCTGCTTAGTATGTGCAGTGTTTGCACACACACACACACACACACACACACACACACACACACACACACACACACACACACACACCAGGACCACAAGAAGAAAAAGAAAACGGAGGCTGCAGGTGGAGCTCAGAAGAGCACCTACTCAATGTTTATAAAGCTCTGGGTTCATTCCCCAGCACCCCATACAAAAACGGCAATTATCTGTACCATAAGTACATTAACCAACCAAACCTATCCCATCAAAAAATTCTTAATTGACATAGAAAGCAATGTACAAACTTACGGGTATCATGCAGTGTTTCAGTGTACGTATATATTGTATAATGTTTTCAAAACAGGATAAACATAGCTGTCTCCACAAACATCATTTCATTTCATTAAAATATAAAAATAGAACTACCGTATGATGTAGCAGTCCCACTACTGGGCAGATATCCAAACGAAAGCACTCAAAATCCTGGCTTTTCCCTTCTCTTTCTGTGGCTGTCGGGATGGAACCTTGGCCTTCCTTCACATATGCTAGGCAAGCACTCGACACTGAGCTTACCGCCCGGGCCTCCAGTAGCTTTTTGTAGTATGTTATCAGTATTCAAGATGGTAATTCTATGCAGTAGAATACCAAAACCGTTCCTCCAGTGCACCTGTACCTTAGTACCCACTGACCATGCTTTTATCCATCCCTCCCTCTCCTGTACTCTTTCCAGCCTCTGGCAACCACTCTACTACTCTCAACTTCCATGCTGTCGACCTTTTAGATTCTATGTATGAGGAAGATCATGCAGTACTTTCCTGTCTATGGCTGGCTTATTTCATTTAATGCTCTCCAGTTCCAGCCATGTCACTTCAAATGATAAGATGCTCATCCTTTTTAAGTCTCTGTATTTGTAACACATTTTCTTTATCCATTCTTCAGATGATGGGCACGTGGGTTGATTGCATTTTTTTTACACTGCGAGTGAACATGAGTGCAAATATCTCCTTGACAGACTGATGTCATTTCTTTTGGATATTTGCCCGGTAGCAGGATTGCTAGAGCATATGGTAGCTCTGCTTTTCATTTTTAGGTAACTTTCCTAATGTTTTCCACAGTGACTATACTAACTTATAATCCATCAATAATGAACAAGGGTTCTTTTTGCCCACATCCTTTCCCGAACTTATTTTTTCCCTTTTTGATAATAAGCATTCTAAGTTTCTGAAGTGGAGCTGGGTCTCATTGTGTTTTTGGTTTACATTTCTCTAGTAACTAATAATGTTAACCATTTGTTCATATATTTATTGGTTATTTGTATGTCTTTTGAGAAATGTCTACTTAAGTCTAGTGCCCGTTTTTAAATTAGATTATTTGGAGGGTTTGGTTTGGTGTTTTTTTTTTTTTCTATCGAGTTTTCAGAGTTCCTTGTATATTCTGGATATATACCCCTTATTAGATGGAGACTTTTCTCTAAATTTGTAGGTGGTCTCTTTACTGTTGATCTTTTTGTTATGGTTTGAGATAATCCCATTTGTCTGTTTTTGGTTTTGTTTTCAATGCTTTGGGGGTTTATCTAAAAAGTCCTTGCAGGCCAGCAAGAGAAAGGCTGATAAAGGCATTTGCCACCCAAGATTGATGACCTGAGTTCTAACACCAGAACCTACATGGTGGGAGGAGAGAAAACCCCCCACAAGTTGTCATTTTGTGGTAAGCCCCCCCCCCCAGCACATTAAATAAATAGAAAAGCAAAGAAATCGATTTTAAAACCCCTACCTCTTCCTGTGTCTGAAGTGATTCCTCCTATGTTTTTTTCTAGTAATTTTACATTTTCAGTCTGATATTTAACTATTTTCAGTAGATCTTTATAACTGAAAGATAGAGGTCTAGTTTCATTCTTCTGCATGCAGACAGTCAATTTTCCCATATAATTTACTGCAAAGACTGTTCCCTGGGTGTGTTCCTAGCACCTTTGTTAAAGCTCTATGGCCATAGCTTCTTGAATTTACTTCTAAGGTCTCTTATTTCATTCCTTCGGTCTGTGCATCTGTGTTTTGGTTATTATGGTGTGTGTGCACGCGTGCCTCTCTGTATCTTTGTATGTGTTATATGTGTTTGTGAGGGTGGATGTGCATCTAAGTGGAGGTTGCCAAAGGCTGACATCAGGCATCAAGTATCTTCTTCAATTGTCTCTTACTGAACCTTCAGCTCATCGGTTTGACTGAGCTAGCTTGCGAGTAGGCACCAGAGATCTGCCGGTCTCCGCCTCCCCGGTGCTGGGACCACAGTCACGGACTGTTGTGTCGGTGCTGGGGATCTGAACTCAGGGCCTCATGCTCGTGTAGCTAGCTCCCCAGCCCCAAAGGAGACATACTTTTCTCAGAAAATGGTGTGGGTGTTGTGTTATTGAGATGTGAACTGAGATAAAAGTGAGGACGTTTCTTTAAGCACAATTAGAGGAAAACTGAAGACCTCCAGCAATCAAATTCCAACTCTTGTTAAAACTCTTTCAAAGAATGTGAAATTACAAAAAGCACACAAATCAGCTATCAGAGTGGATGCGACTGTCCATGGCACCATGTCATTCATTTGATGCTTAAGCATGGCTGACAGTGTAAGAATTCTGTAACATTAACAAATTCAAGGAAAAGTAAATACGTGGAAAGATGGTGTGACTATAGTAAAGGCAGCTGGGGCTGGCAAGATGACTCACCAGTTAAGAGCTCTCACTGTTCTTGTCTGCAAGAGCAGGTTCAGTTCCTAGTACCCGTGTGCTGGCTCACAACAGCTTGCATTTCCAGTTCCAGGGGATCTGCTGTCCTCTTCTGCCCTCCGAGGGTTCCTGGGGCTCATAAAGTCTTACAGAGATACATATACCTGATTTCTTTAATCTTAAAAAAAAATGAATAAAGCCAATTGGTAGAGCAATAATTACCTGTAATGCTGCCTCCCTGGAAATTCACAAATCATATATATTTTTTAACTTCTATGATTTCAGGTTTCTAGGTTATTTTTGCTGATGGGGTGGGATTTGGGGAGGGGTTGATTTTGTTCGTTTGTTTTTGTTTTGATGACGGGATTGTCGGGCATTTAGCAAGAATTCTTTCCCCAAATAGAATCCATTTGTGGAGGCCACCTCTATGATCTTGGCTTCTGTGAAAACTTCTGGAGGCATCTCTACTTGCTGCCGTGGCACAGTGTCTAACATTCAGTAATAGGCGTGTCCTGGCCATTTGTGCCAGGCCTGGGCAGCTAGCTGTGCTCAGAGCGGAGCCGGGCTCCCGGGTGGTGTTTATTTGCCTGTCTTCAGTTTCTCTCTCCTCTTTCTCACTTTCCTGGCTTAGCTGATTGCACACAAGCAGCTCCACAGCAGCATGACCAAGAAGAAAAGGATGAGGAGAGCGAAGAGAAAGCTGTGCACAGACTGCGAGAGTGGGATGACTGGAAGGACACCCATCCCAGAGGCTATGGCAACCGGCAGAACATGGGCTAATCCTCCTGAAGGGCCAAAGGACCACGTGGTACACACCAAGGACAACCTCAGCAGGGTGCAGTGAAGGCAGCCAGGCAGAGTCTTGCTTTGCCTTCAGTTGTGTCAAATAATTGCTTGTACCCTAGGTAATGACCAGAGATTTTGTTTGGCTTTATTAATTCTCATCATGGTGATTCTAAGTGGTCGGGAAAGAGCACTAAGACATGGCTCTATATAACCTATGATAGTATGAATTCATTCTCTTCCAAAAGTAATAAACCCCTCTAGTATGCGGGCCTATGCACACACGTGGGTATCAGCTGGTTTTGTCGTTTGTGGTGGAGCAGCAGGGTTCGACTGTGGGTCTCGGGGTGTCTGGAAAGCCTTGATTCTGAGCAAGAATTGCCCTGGGTCTGAACTGCCCATGCTTTCCCCCTCCCGCTAGCTGTGGTGTGACCCTGGGAGCCCCCGCCATGCTCTGGAATAACGGTAGACAAGCAGAAATGGCAGAAGAGCGCCTCTGCTCCAAGGCACTGCTTTCGGAAATCAGAGCTGTGGGGAAGGGACCCCTAAAGAATTAGTCTCGTGAGTATGTTGGTTCATCCCACTCAGCTCAGCACTTGGGAAGTAGAAGGAGGCGGCTCAGAAGGTCAAGGTCATCCTTAACTACATGAGTGAGGCCAGCCTCGGCTGCATGAACCTCTGTCTCTAAATACATAGAAGGCCTCTGTTATAAAATTCCTGCCTACCTAGTCCTAGCCCTGACCGTGGGAAATGGGAGCTCCAGAGAGGCTGCTCTATAGAATCATCCTTTACCGTCATGGGAACATTAGCCTAAGCCTTGAGGTGAACACCGCCTCCAAGCCCACTGGACCTCCTTGGCTCTGTGGCTCCAAACCTGGTGTGGTAGGAATGGATGCCTCTGCTAGCTGGCTGTTTAGTACACGCCTGCTGATCACATAAACAGAAGTGGAGAAGAGGGATGATGCCCGTGATGCTGCAAGTAGGAACTCGCTGGGATGGAGGGGTTGGTACCCTCTAAGAGCAGCCTGTGATCTGCTCCGAGAACATCCTTTTGTTCTGTGGCTCCGGTCCACTTTGGGTTCCTTTGAAGAGGAAGATGACTCAGCCCTCCTATTCTAGCTCCTGCAGTCTGAGGAGAAGGCTTTGCAGAGAGTCAATTCCCTCTTGTTTATAGGGTGGGAAGTGGAGGGCTGTCAGGTGCTGAGGAGGAGGTTGTTTCGTGGGTGGTGACAGCAAGAAGGCTACCAATAATATATTTGTATACTTCCTAATAAAGGATCCATCTCCCCCTCACACAGAGGCTCCTGAAACTGGTAGCGCATGGATGACATTTCCTACAGAGCTAGAAGCAGTGTTCTCAGCCCTCCTCCAGTTGTTCCCAGGCTACCTCTAGCCACAGGTTTGTCCTCGGCCCGTAGAACCCACCCTGAAGTTTATTTACTTACAAACTAGCCAGGTTGACTTACACCTTGGTCTGAGTCTTAGAAGATTGTACTTTTTGTATCCTCCAACTTCATTGAGCCTCCACACAGAGAGAGAGAGAGACCCAAAGAGGCAGACCACACAAAGTAGGTTCGAATCCTGGCTTGGACAGGTGGAACCTGTATGAGTTCATGCAGTAAAACCCCCACAGTGTCTGTCTTCTGTTGATGTAGAGGATGTCTCCTAGGTCTGGGATGATTACGTAAATCACGGCCACCACTGTAATAAAGCCAGGCAACTGAAGAATAAGGCTTTCACGTTGGTATCAGGGCCATGACTGGGCTGTCCGGGAAGAAGGGAAAGGAACTGGGCAGGTAACAGGCCTTCACTGTGAGGCGCTTTCCCGCTCTCAGCACAAAGGCCTTGCAAAGGCAGGCCTACCGTCCCCATGCCACAGAGCAGGATGGGCCAAGCAGAGTGGCTTCATCACGCCCGCCTTGCGCTTCTGGGTTCCTTAGGCTTTTAGTCATGTGTCTTCGGGCAGCTTCCTGGTGGGAGCCTCCTGAAGACTGAAACTGCCATTTAAACACCGCTGGAACTCTACAGGCTGCTTCTCGGTTGACTCAGCAAAGGGAAGGTGGTGCCAGTTTCCTGCCTCTCCCCCCTCAGCTAAAGCCAGAGGGAGGTGATGAGCAACCCATCTTCCTCCATTCTCCTCCGCGCTGTGTGCCTGATGCCTCACTGCTCAGAAACCAAAAAAGCACCACCTTCTCTACGCCCACCAGAGCCAGGCCTTCCAGGGTCCCGGAGGCAGCTGGTTTGGGTGAATTCCAGGAACCAGGCTCCTCGGTGCTTTTGACAGGTAACACTACTGCTTCTCAGCTCTGCCTCTCGTGCGCATATATCTGTACGCCTGCATTTCTGCGCTTACCCCTGGGCCGTTTTTGGTTTCGTTTCCACCCTCACTCCCTCTCTTCGTGGTCTAGTGAAGGAAACTTGTCTCGGGGAGATGAATCAGTGACTTCGCACCGGCACACAGCTAAGCAAAGCCATGTAGACGCTGAAGTTGAGGGGAAGCATTTGGCTTCCGTGGCTCTCGCATAGAGGGCAGTTCCATCTGCAAACGGTGGTCCAGGGCACTGTGCACACCTCTGATCCCAACACAGAGGAGGCTGAGACAGGAGGGCTTCAAGTTCAAAGCAAGTCGGAGATCCTGCGGGGGGGGCGGGGGGGAGTCCAGTATGGTGGCGCACTTGGAAGTGGAGGCAGGAGGATCAGGAGTTCAAGGCCCGCCTTAGCTACATAGCCAGTTGAAGGCAGCCTAGGTTACATAACAGTAAAAAGAAAGAAAAACAGATACTGAGGGAGGAGGATGAGGCAAGGAAGAGGAAGAGCGGGGGGGGGGGGTCCACATTCATCTTTTACCTTTCCAGTTTTGTTTATTCTTGAGTGGCCTTAAATTCTTGCCTCACCTGAGCACTGGGATTCCAGATGTGTACCATCATTGCCAATATAGAGTAATGTTTCTTCTCGAGCCAGGCTGTGGTGGCGCACACCTTTAATCCCAGCACTCAGGAGGCAGAGGCAGGGGGATCTCTGTGAGTTCGAGGCCAGCCTGGGCTACAGAGTGAGATCCAAGACAGAAACCAAAACTACACAGAGAGACCCGGTCTCGAAAAACCAAAAAAATATTTTTTTTTTTTTTTTAAAAAAAGTAATGTTTCTTCTCAAGGAATTCCATACTTCAATGTCCTTTCCAGTTTTGCACCTCTCAAGACCCTCTGGAGGAAGAGAGCAGGGGCTAAAGGAATGATGTAAAACCGAAAATAATTAGTGTTCTGGGTTAGTTTCAGTTCTTGGGAATCTGTCATCTGAAGCAAAATGTTCACTTTTGTCATTTAAAGCAGTGTGAAAAGGAGGGACTTTGGAAACTGAAATGAGTTTGTTGGCATCTGAACTCCAAAAGAGTTTCCTTCACTTCCTCTTGGCCTCAGGTTGGCTCATAGGCCCAGTTAGCATGTTACCACCCACCCGAGTGGGTCACCCTACGTTAATAGGAAATTGTTACCACGGTCTCCTTGCAAAACACCTGCACGTTTCCCCAGATTCCTTTCTACACACTGCACGGACAAGCACACCTCAAGCAAGGCAGTTCACTCTGGGTCCATACCAGGGATGCTTGACCTCTAACCTCAGCTCGTCACTGTTCTGACCTCTCAGAGACACAACCCTACTCAGCGCACAGGCTGGAAACAAACAGGAAAGCAAAGGATCCTTTGTTTTCAATCTAGTGCTTTGACAGCACCATTTGCGTAAAAGAAACTTTCTATGTGAAAGAATGTCTGTACAAAATAGTGTTATGAAAGAACACAATGAAGCTTCATTCCCCTATCAGACAGCTTCAAGGGTTACCCCCAACTCATATTGACCTTCCTCCATACCTCCATCCTCCTGAACCCATAGAGTAAGAGAACACCAGGTACAACACTGAAATTTGATGATACAAGGAATTGTTCATTTTATGCTATGATACTTTTTAAAAGTCTGGGTTTTATTCTGTTGCGTAGGCTGGTCTCAAATCCCCAGGCTCATGTGATCCTCCAGAGGGCTGGAGCTATGGGCGTGTGTCACCAGGCCCAGATTGTGCAGGTTGTAAAGGGGAGTTTGGATCTTTCAGAGATACCCTCTGAAATATGGGTAGACAGAATGAGATGATGCCCAGAGTCACAACGTCCATGTTTTCTCAAGCTGTCTTCTGCAGATCAGCAGCAGCCAAAAGGTTTGTGGCATGATTTTCTTGATGTGCCAAAATAACTACCAAAGGAGAAGACTCTAGGTGGTAGAACCTGAGAGCTGGGTTTCACATATCCAGCCCCAAGGCTGCCTTTGACAAATCTATGGGGAAAAGTAATGAACCAAGTCTTAGCTTTCAGATTCTTTGTCCCTCAATGACAGTAAAACTGAGCAATGTCTCAGGCCACCCTACTCCAATGTGGTAATAGCAATAATTCTAATAGCTACTGTATAGTAGGCACCTAGTATATACTAACAGCTTTGTACAGGGCATTTCTAATCCCTAAAACTACCCAAGTTACATATTACCAAAGCCTGAGTATATAGATGAAAACAGTGAGGCTCAGATAATGAATGTCCAAAGATCACTTAGCTCTAAGAAGCCTGGATTCCAGTTCAGTTGACTTCAGAACAGCTTCCAGTGGGCTGTACTGTCTCCAGGAAGCCCCCAGCACATAAGGCGTGTATGTGAAGGCAGAGAATAATGTCCTGGTAGCAAACTGCTCTCTGTTCATGTTTTAAGCAACAATTCCATAAGTTTTGTTTGTTGAACCCCTCAGGGACACATCTGAGATCGGCTCACTGGGAAATTCTTACACGCACACGCGCACACACACGTGCACACACACCCCATCCTTTCTACCACCTCATTCCTCAACCTACAGGGAAATAAATATTCCTGCTCCTTGCCCGTTCGGTCAGACCTTCTTTATGTCCAGCCCTGGAAGATCTTTGCTTAAGGCAGAGCTTGTAGGCTTTCTATGACAGCCTCACTCTGGGACTCTTGCCTATTTTGTAAGCCAGTCAAAGCCTCTTTCATCTCCCAGGCCTTCCAGAACAAACAGCACACTGGCCATGATTGCATGGCCTTACAGAAGAGGAAAGGGGGCAGCCAGCATCTGCTGCCCTAGGCCCTGGCTTCTGGCCCCAAAGAATTGAGAAATATTTTTTGAGACTTCTTTGCCAGCTTTAATTAATGTCCCCTCTCTCTCCCTTGTCTATCTCTCTCTCTTTCACCCTACCTTCTGTGTCCCAGATCCTTTCTGCCTCATGACTGTTGCCTGCCCTGACTTTCCCACCTAAATTCCAGGCCTGTCTCCTGTCATGTGCAAGACCGCCCCTCTTGATGTACAAACAGAACTAGAACTTGACAGCCTTGAAGTGAACTCAGCCATTCCCAATCCTCTCTCCATCAGGGCTTCTTGTGTCCCCCATAACCGACTTGTGCTCATCCTAAAAAGCTCACCATTGTTTCTGGCTTCTCCCTACTGAGAAAGCAAGTATTCAAACATTTGCTGAATGGATCAGGGGATGAATGAGTCCTATCATGAATCACACTGCTTCATCAGGAAGATTCACAATAATCCAGCCTCGTTCTTTTCATATTCAAACAACTTTGCATAAAAAGACAACTCAGAATCTCTTCACCTTAAAGCTGCAGTCATCTCCATAGCTGGCAGACTAATGGAGCATTTCAGCCTGTTCTGAGGAGACTGCTTTTCCACTAAATGGAGCTCACTCTACCTTCTCTTTGAAAGCTTAGTAAATAATACAGCAGTGCACTTTGAAGTAATTTTCTTGCCTTACTGACCACAGGATAGTCTGTCATGTTAGTATGTCATCGCTTATGTAGCCATCCTCAGATCTGGAACATTTGGATTGCTTACAGGATTTTAGTGCATTTTGTTTTATTTGAATCAGTTAACCAAGCAAGTGGCCCAGTTTGCTAATATACGGAGAAAGTGGCCCTAAAGCAGGGAGGATGGTGGGGAAGGCACAGGGCAGGGGTGAAAGGAAGCTTCCCATTGAATGCCCTCCTGCATTCTGAGCCCTGTGAGCACACAGGCTGAAGACTTACTGTCTACCAAGTGTGGCACCAGAACATGCCTGTCGAGATGGGTCTAGGCACACAGCCTAACCTTTTGGTATGTGCCCTCCCAAAAGTACATATCGGCCGGGCGTTGGTGGCGCACACCTTTAATCCCAGCACTCGGGAGGCGGAGGCAGGCAGATCTCTGTGAGTTCGAGGCCAGCCTGGGCTACCAAGTGAGTTCCAGGAAAGGCGCAAAGCTACACAGAGAAACCCTGTCTCGAAAAACCAAAAAAAAAAAAAAAAAAAAAAAAGTACATATCATGTGCCACGGGGACTCAGAGAGCTCAGTGGCTCGGGGAATAACATTTGCACTTAACCTTGAAAGATGGATAAGGCAGCCTGATCTGAGACAAAAAGAGGCCTAGCTTGGGGCAGATTGAGGTACAAGGCTATAGGTGGTTTAGAAAATGAATGCTTGACGAAAATAAAAGATGGGGTCTCCCTATGTAGTCCAGGATGGTCTAGACCTTGCAGTGAACCTCCAGCCTTGGCCTTCTGAATGCTGAGATTACAGGTGTGTATCACCAAACCTGGCTGTAAATGAGACTTTTAAGGAGGAAAGAAATGAGTGTAAAATGGGGTCCAGACCCAAGCTCTCTGGCTTGGAGTTGATCTCCAAGGCAACAGCATCCTTGAAAATTTGAAATAGGCCAGAGATACAGTGAAAGTGTTTTTGTTGTTATTTGTTTTGTTTTTCTTCTCTTCATTTCTTTTGTGATAGGATCTCATTAGATAGGCCAGGCTGGCCTGGGTTTCACTGTGTAACCCAGGCTAGCCTGGAACTCATCCTATAGCCCAGGGTGGCCTCAAACTCCCAATTCTCCTGCCCCAGCTTTCCGGGTGCTGTGATTACAGATGTGTCCCACTGCGCCTGGCTGTGAGGAGCTGTTGCCTCTGCTGCCGCTGCCGCCGCTGCCACCGCTGCCTGCGTGCTCTGCTTCTCATTGTGTACAGTGGGGAGGCCAGCGGACAGCGAGCTTCTCAAGTACAGGAGCCATTGAGAAGAGCAGGAGCTGCAAAGACTCATTGTTCTCTTTGCCCCAGGTCATAGCCGCTTTGTCCAGAAAGCTCTTGATCCTGGACAACTACTCAGGCTCAGGCAACAGGAATGCTTGCTCACGCTCACCTAGGCACTGGAAGCCACTGTGCTGGCCTGCTCTAATAAGTGACCCAGTGACTCATGGCTCCAGGGATCCTGAGAGCCCCATCTGGGTTACCCTTTACCCTCTCAGAGCCCTTGTCCTACCACAACTCCTGAGCCCCCTTCACTACGCTCTAGACCCAGGGGCCTCAGACACACAGGGCCTCGTGAATCACCTTCCAGGCGTCTCTTTTCTCCTGCTCCCTAAGCCTGAAGCTTTTCTCAAAGGCAGCTGTTCCCTGCACAGCAGCAAAGCTCTGCGTTTTTGTGTATGGGATCTCCACACCCTAAGAGGTCAGGCTCTTCACGTGGCACATTAGATCCTACTGCACATGCCGCTCCCCACTGCCAAATTCCAGTGCCATGGAACACTTTGGTGCCAGACACCATCTAAGGGACTTTCCAAGCCTCACAACAAATCCTCACAGCAAATGAGTAATCTTTTTTTGTTTAGTTGCTTTTGTTTAGTTGCTTTTGTTTGGTGGTGGTGGTGGGTGGGTGGGTGGTGGTGGTGGTGGTGGTGGTGGTGGTGGTGGTGGTGGTGGTGGTGATGGTGGTGGTGTTGGTGGTGTTTGGCTGTTCTGGAGCTCACTCTGTAGCCCAGGCTGGCCTTGAACTCACAGAGATCTGCCTGCCTCTGCCTCCTGAGTGCTGGGATTAAAGGCGTGCGCCCCTACCACCCGGCTTTTGTTTTGTTTTTTGAGACAAGGTCTTACCTATCCCAGGATGGCCTCAAACTATGTAGTCAAAGATGATCTTGACCTCCTGATTCTCCTGCCTTTACCTCCCAAGTTCTGTGATACAGGCATATGCCAACACACCCAGCTATGTGTGCTTAATATCTTCTACCAAGTGAGAGAACTAAGACTTGGGGCGTACATACATAATCTCTTTATTCGGCACATTTTAATTTTTTCTCTTTTATTTTTGAGATTACAATATAATAACATCATTTCTCCCTTTCCTCCCCCCAAACCTTCCCATATACCTCTCTGGCTCTGCTTCAAATCCATGACCTCTTTTTCATTATTTCTTGTTACATGCATATATGTATATGTATTCTTAAATATAACCTGCTCCGTTCATATAATGTCGCTTGTATGTATGTTTTCAGGGCTGGCCATTTGGCACTAGACAACTAATTGGTGTGCTCTTCCCTGGGGAAGGCCACCTCTCCCACCCCCAGCTCTCCTCAGCTGCCTGTGGTTCTTTGTGTAGGGTGGAAGCCTCCTGGGCTTTTCCCTGTTCACTTTGCCATGTGTATTGGTTTCGTCCCCCTCATGTTTAGACAGTCATGTTGAAGAGAATTTACGGGGATGGCTTCTGACTTTCCTAGGAGACACACAATCTCACAGCAAACTCCAGGATCCTCTGGCTCTTACAATCTTTCCTCCCCCTCTTCCACAATGTTCCCTGCGCCTTAGGTGTGGGAGTATTTTGTAGATGTATCCATTAGGAATGAGCTCCACAACTCTGCGTTGTGATTGGTTGTGGTTTTCTGTAGTGGTCTCCATCTGTTGCAAAGAGACGTTTCCTTGGTGAGAGGTCAAGACTACACTATCTATGGTGTAAGGATACGTATTTAGAATGCTGGTTTAGTAAAGTGGTGGTTGTGGATCCTCCTTCTCTAGCACTGAGTAGGTGGCACCAGTATCAGGCATCATTTCCCTCTTGTTGAGTTGGTCTTAAGTCCAATTAGGGAGATGCTGGTTACCACCAAGGTATGCATGCCACTGCTGCATCCTTAGAGTTATCCTGTTAGGTTTATCAACACATTTTAATTAAGGTCATATGTACCATATGCTTAGTATTTCCCTGGGTTTCAACAGCATGTATTCTGGGTCAAGAGTTGGGTAGTGAATAATAGGAGTCTATGTGTCACCAGTAAATAGATTAGGGCCACCAGGGAAGTCAAAGAAGATGGAAGAGAAAGCTCTTAGCTGTGTGACCATGGATGAGATACTTTTACCATCTTGGGGACCAGAAACTCTAACCTTCTTCATTGGTTCTAGCAGCATTTACTTGAGTAAAGTTTACCCTGTGCTATATGTTAGGGACACGGAGATGGGAGACAGTCTGGCCCTGCCCTTGTTCTGATGCCATGTGTTACCTTGAGACTCTCCTAAATTTCCTCCATATCCCCATGTAAAAGTGGAGAGGAGCAGAGACCTGATCAGTAAGAGCCACAGAGCTCTTGGAGTGGTGGGTCTTGTCTGTCATGGGCTCCCCAGGCCCCTTCATATCTGCTTTCCCTGGGAGAGCCAGGCTTTCCTCCCTTCCCTCTCTCCTCCCCTGAAAAATTCTCAATAGACACGGCCCTCTATGTGGCCAGGAAGCCCCAGGAAGCAGCTTGAGCCCAGCTTTCTCGGGAGGAAGAAAAGAAAGAACGGGCTTCTAGGTACATTTGACAATGAAAGTGACTTAACAGAAAGTGTCCTAAGCTCGCCTCTGAGGGGTCACATTAGTTAGTCAGATCAGCAGTGAGAGCTTGCATGCTCCCCTCGGTGGGCCAGACATCAGTATTCTCTCACACTTGTAGGACATTGGATCTCACTCTTGTTGGAGTTTTGCAGCCATGCTTTTAGTTACACTCAGCGGGAAGTTTTGGACTGCCTTCTGTATTCAAGGCCTTACGCAGGGGATGTTGATCTTTTTCAAATTCAAGTGTATGGACATTTTTGAGATTTTTCTAACTGTCTGTCTCTTCTGTTAGACTCAAAACTTATTGGAGTCAGACACTGCCTGTCTTCCTCCCCACTGACTTCTTTAGTACATCACAATGGTGACTTACAAACAATGTCATCCAACAGAGAGTGACAGGAAAACATTAATTCTGAGACAGGGATCTTGGAATGGCCTTTAATTTTGCAAAGACTGGTAAACAGAAGCATGACCCTTAACCAGGAACAAACAGATGGTCGACAGACATAAATTGAAAAGAATGATAATTGTAGGAAATAATTACCAACCGTGCACCAAGCCTTGTGCTGAGCACCTCATGATTATTCACTCATTTAATTCTCCAGATAACTCCGTGAAGCAGGCATTCTCATTGTCCCCATTTTACAGATGGGTAAACCAAGGCATGGGGAGTCACTAACTTATAAGTGTCAGGGCTCAGAGCTGAACTCCTATTGTCTTGCTCTGAAGTCTATGATTCTACCCACTCTACTGCCTTCCAAGATGCATTTTCAAAAGGGAATAGTCAGGGGCATGGAGTGTTGTGAAGCTATGGCTTCCAGCAATGTTCTTCCTGCTTTGCTATATGGTGTCCGGCTGCTGATCCAGGACCCCTGGGAAGAGAGGCACAAAGAGGAACTGGAGAGATGTAGATAGGCAGGCTGAAAAAGAGCTCTATTGGGCTGAGTGACTCTCAACTGAAGGAGCCGGATTGGCCACTGGAGCAAATGTGACCCCTAGTTACCTTTTCCGAAGCAGGTCCTAGCAGCAGGCTACTTTGCAGAGCTTCTAGATAAGGTGGACAAAGTCATTCTTTTCTCCTGAACTACTCAGAGGTCATCCAACAGCTAAAGCCACCCAAGGCTACTGTTGCCTCATCAAAATCAGTGGTCCATGGACAGAAAGGAAACAGTCTAATGTGCAACCTTCTGTGTGTAGGAAGTTGGGGCGGAGCAAACTGGAGGAAAGGTTCGGGCAAGCCTGACAAAAGCCTGCCGGTTAAGCAGCCCTGATGATAAGAGATTAGTGCAGAGCGTCTGACATTGGCTCCATCGCAGTGGCTTAGGGCTTCTGCTTGGGCTTCTGGCCACAGGGAAGCAGCCCTGAAACCATGGTCTTTCTCTCCAGACTAGATCTGCAGGAGGGCCTCCGAACACTCTCCGTTTTACAGTGGATTCCACTCTATGTCATTTTAGGTGAGTAAACGTCAAGGGCCAGAGAACAGATTCAGAAAGAGCCCAGGCCGCCCCACATGAGGAAGGCTCCAGTGCCAGCACCTGCTTGGGTCCCTCCACCCCGTCCAGGGCATTGACTGGCATGGAGGCCCAGAGGCCAGGGGAGAGCCTGCAGCTGAGGCGTTGTCCCCTACACTTTATCCAAAAAGAATCATACCGAAGAGTGGGGCCAGAGCGGTGGGTGCTTGAAAGGTTGGTGTTACTGGAAAGATCTAAGGTAATTTCCCTAGTATAAGGGTGTTGTAAAAGAATTCTGAAAAGTCTGAGGACTGGGTGCGTGACATTAGATCTTCAGGCAAAGCTAGCTCATGTTTGGTGGACTCAGTGATCAGTGTTGGGCTAATGGGCTCACAGAATCAAGCCAGAAGCCAAGGCATTCTGGGAGGTCATCTATAGAGGCAAGCAAATTATATGACCTGTTAGAGTAGAGGGGTTGTTTGTTTGTTTGTTTGTTTGTTTGTTTGTTTGTTTGTTTGTTTTCAAGACAAAGTTTCTCTGTGTAGCCCTGGCTGTCCTGGAACTCACTCTGTAATCCAGGCTGGCCTTGAACTCACAGAGATCTACCTGCCTCTGCCTCCCAAATAAGAGCAGAGGTTCTTAAGCAGCGGGTTGTAGAGTAAGAATTCAGGGGTAGCTTGGTGGGAAGAAATGTGGCTTTCCTGTCATTCGGCTCCTGTTGGGATGTAGCCATTCCTTCAGTGATGAATGTAGGCGATGAGCCTCAGACGTGATGGCAGCACCCGTGATGTTTGTCAGGCGCAGACATGGCAGAGATTTGCATTTCGTTCAAGTGATTGTTTGTTAAAGCCATCTCCAAACTTTGCTTGTGCTGATGATGACTTCAAAATTCCAGTAGTTATTAGAACTTCTGTTAAGGCTGGTTTCTTCATTCATAAAGCAAGAAACATATATGCTGCTGGATCACATTGTGAGTGATGTGACAGCTGTGGTCTAATATAGTGCCCTGCCTTTGTAATGTCGGGTATTTTATTGATGCACTTAAGAATATTATTCGAAGAAGGGTTTGTATACTTCATCAGCCTGTCAGAGGGGACCTATAGCCTCTAGAAGATGCAGACTTTCTAAGCTTCATTAAAATCAAATCCCGCTGAGCTCATCATTTGTTTAACGAGCTGTGTCAAGAAAAGGACGTTAAGCCTAGTGGGTTTCTTCTCAGCAGGTAAAAGGTCTTGCTGATCAAGCTGACTTGAAGCCCCTGAACCCACAGTTGAAGGCAACAGCTGACTCCTTCAAGTTGTCTTCTGACCTCCACACACACACAACATGGTACATGTGCCCCTACACTCGCGTGCATCCCACGTCACACACATACACAAATAATGATGATGGTGATAGTAAATAATAATAATAATAATAATAATAAGAGAGAAATACATTTTCAAGAAAAGGGAGTTAAAACCAGGCAGGACTAGTGCCTCAAACCTGTAATTCCATCACTCAGGAGGCCTGGGCAGAAGGATTACTGTGAGTTCAAGGCTAGCCTGAGCTACACAGTGACTAGAGTTCCAAGCCAATATGATCTATAAACTAAGACCCTTTCTCAGGAAGGAAGGGAGGGAGGGGAAGAGAGACAGACAGACAGGATAGAGGAAGGGAAGGAGGTACGGGGAGGGAGAAGGGAAACAGGAAGAAAGAAAAAAAGGTTATTTGGGGCAGCGCTTTTGTCTTTATTCATAGTTTCTTTCTGTTTTCCTCTGCATTTTATTTTAACTTTCTCAGAAAGCCCCCCTTGGATAAATTCTTCCCCTCCAGTAGAAAAATACGGGACAGAGGGAGGTCAAAAGAGATGTGGTGTTGGGTTTCGAGCCTGGACCTCAGAAAGGGTGAGGGAAAAGGCCTGAAAGAGCCCAGGAATGGGGAAGAGCGGAAGAGTGGGGAGATGCGTGTGTGTGCCTGGGGGACTTTCAGGCTTGACGGCACCTTGGTATGACGCTTGAACACGTGCTCATCTCGTCTGGCTACTCTGGACGGCTATTTTCAGTACAGTAATTTTGCTTTTCCTCCCAGAAAATAATTCTCAGGCTTTCTTTTTCTTTCTTCCTTTTTCCCTTTCAAAGGCCACTGTCTTCCAGCAGGACTAGAGTAGAGGGTCCGTCAGGCGATACCATATGTAAGAGCTCAAGAAGACAAGGGCAGCAGCCGCCTCCTCCCCGCTAAAGCTCACTGGCTCCCAGTCATCCTGGCAGAGTTGGAGGAGTGGAATGGGAATGCTAGAGACACATGATGGCACCATTGTGTCACCAGTGGAAACACAGAAGCATAAAGTGCATTTTTTTTTTTGGTCGGTGTTGTTAAAGTTTTGTTTTTTTTTTTTTATTACGACAAATATAGAGAAAAGAGAATTCCTTGTTTTAAGTGGCAGTCAGTTGCATTAACTACTGTGTTACACAGTGTTCTACAACCATGTCCAAAATGTTTCATCTTCCTAAACGGAAACTCTGTACCCATCAAACCTTGACTTGCTAAGTTCCTCTCGCCCAGCTCTGGAAACCACCATTCTAATTTCTGTTCAGGTGAACTTTCCTATTCTAGACGATCATGCCATGGTCACTGTTATTTCACAAAACAAAGCCTTCAAGTTTATTCATACGATAGCATATGTCAGAATTTCCTTTTTAAATGAATAGCACTTTTATGGCTACACTAAATGTCATGTATTCATTCATCCATTAATGAGCATTTTTCCCTCTCGGCTATGAGGAAGAATGCTATTTTAAGTATAAGTGTATAACTTCTTTGAAACTGCTTTTGAATGTTTAGGATATACAAAAAAGAGGAATCTATGGACTGTATGGCAATTCTATTTGGTGATGCTTTGAGAAACTGCCAGTGGCTACACCGTTTTATTTTTCTCACAACCGTGCATAAGGGTTTGGATTTCTCTGCATCATCACCAATACTCTTAGCTTCTGGGTTTATTATCATCTTAACGGGTGTGGCATGAAACCTCACCATAGTCTTGATTTGCATTTTCCTAATGACTAATGATACTGAGCATATCTTCATGTGTTTCTTGACTTGTTTTAGACTGATTATCATTCCATTTGTATAACATTCTGTTTCTGTTCTTTAGCTGACTATGCTAAAAATTTCAAGAATCCTGGGTCCTGCAGATTACCAAAGCAATCTTGCAGTAGAGTAAAATGTCCACAGAGGTGCCAAATATATTCAAATCTGTTCATCAATAGTTATAGGGAAAATATTCATTATAAGACCTTGAGCTGCCTTTGCTGAGGCCGTAACAATGAGCTAATTATAGGCTCCTTGTTATCAACTACAGAAACAAACGTTTCAACCACGGCACACGTTTCAAATCACTGTACTGTAATGTGGACTATAGTAAGTGAAAGAGCCATGAGAAAGGAATGTGAGGGTGCCAGGTAAAGAAAATCTTACAACAGGCTGAGGAGGCTGAAGGGGAAGCAGCCTGGCACGGTGAGCAGCTGGTGAGCCCTGGGGAAGTACATCAGAGTGGGCTTACAGTTCAGTGCGGGACTTTGGAGTCCCAAGGGTGGCGCTGCTATAAGGCTTAGTATCATCGTCCCCTTCTCTGGGCTCACAGGCAATGTTCTTCACGGAAAAGTCTCCCTCCCTCCTCTTTCTCCCTTTCCTTTATTCGTTCTGAACCTGGTCGGTGCTTCTGTCTGAGTGATATTCAGAAGCATAGCCAATATAACATGCCAAGGGATGTTAGCTGGAGGAAATGGAGTTGACAGGGCAAAGAGAACAAACAGACAGAGGGACAAGTAGGATGGAGAAAGTGAGAAGAGACGACGAAAAGATGAGTTAGGGAACATGAAAGCTCTGATGGCCCTCTGAGGTCCAGCTTTCTTTCTGAGGTTTGCTTTCTCTCTCTGTGTCTCTTCTGTGTTGTGGAATATTAGTTTAAGATGTGTTGCGTTTGTTTATACTGTGGAATATTTAATGATGCAAAGATGTGTTGCATTCTTTTATGTTGCATTTGTTTAACTCTGTGAAGCTGTGTTACTGTGCCTGTCTAAAACACCTGATGGTCTAATAAAGAGCTGAACAGCCAATAGCAAGACAGGAGAAAGGATAGACAGAGCTGGCAGGCAGAGAGAATAAATAGAAAGAAGAGAAGAAGATGGGGAATGAAAGGAGGAAAGGAGGACTCCAGGGGCCAGCCACCCAGCTACACAGCAAACCATGGAGTAAGAAGGAAAAAAGGTATATAGAAAGGTAAAAGCTCAGAGACAAAAGATAGGTGGGATAATTTAAGAAAAGCTGGCTAGAAATAAGCCAAGCTAGGGCCAAACATTCATAAGAAAGAATAGGCCTCCATGTGTTTATTTGGGATCTGGGTGGTGGGCCCCCAAAGAGTAAAGAGCAAAGAGCCAGCGAGTTAAAAAAAAAAAAAAAAAAAAAAAAACTATACTTCTGGGCTTGGACTTGCCATCTCTCAGAGCTATGAAAAGTAGTTCTGGCCTTCTAGTTTCTAGTCTCCACCCTCTCCAATCTATTCTGCATGCTCCCTCAAGTCTGTCTGTCTTTCTTCAGTCTTGAGTATTAAATCCAAGACCTAATGCTCCCACTGAAATAGATTCCCAATGCGTAGAACCTTTTTTAAAAAAAAAAACTGATCATATACCTTTCATGTTCAAAAATAACGGTATCCTATGGCTAGCTTGATGATGTACAAGTTTAGTACCTGGGCAGCCTTGACCATCTCCACTCTCTGGCTCTGACCCTGCATCAGCTCATCTCCCTGTGCAAAGCTTGTATTTCAAGCAATTTACTCACAGGGGTGGGGGCATACCCCTTAACTTCTGCCTAGTTCCTTGACTGGATCATAAATGCCCTTCCTAGACTGTCAATGCCTCTCCATAGGGAAAATACTTGACCCATATCTTCTCTGTAATTCGTTCTAGACTGTGCCACTTTGGAAGGCCTAAGGCACTTTTCAGGAATAAACTGGACAGCATCTCTCTCTCTCTTTTTTTTTTTTTTTTTTTTTTTTTTTTTTTTTTTTTTTTGGTTTTTCGAGACAGGGTTTCTCTGTGTAGCTTTGCGCCTTTCCTGGGACTCACTTGGTAGCCCAGGCTGGCCTCGAACTCACAGAGATCCGCCTGGCTCTGCCTCCCGAGTGCTGGGATTAAAGGCGTGCGCCACCACTGCCTGGCAAGGACAGCATCTCTTAATCTTAAAAAATTAAACCCACAACATTATATTTTAGTTATAGAAGTTGAATTAACTTTCAAACAAGGAGCAGGGAAAACAAATTTTTCACTAAGGCATTCTGGAGAGCATTGAAGTTGAAAAGCATGGTATCCAAATCAATACATTTCAAAAGGTTGGGACCCATCTAGGCATGGTGGCTCAAGCCTGGAATCCTAGCACTGGGACAGTTGAACCATGAGTTTGAGTCTAGCCAGGGCTACATTTTGAGTTCCAGGCTTGTGAAGACTGTATAGCAATACCCTGTCTCAAAAGAAAGACACTTGTTAAAAAAAATCAGTAAGTTACTAAGGTATGTAGTATTTAACCAGAACCTACTACCCTTTATTCATTAAATCATAACATTCAAGGACTTTACTGGTTGCAGACCCCAGATTTCCCCCTCTATCCAACAAGCTCCATGAGAATAAGAACTGATTCTTTTCTTTTTCATAGGAGCAAACTTGACATTAAATATCAAATTATCTTCCTAGATTTCATCTTCCTCGATAGAAACCATTAGCTCCATGTTTCTGCCTTCCTTTAGTCATCCTTTTTGTGGGGGTACTTGCCGCCTTCTGGTTTTTGATTCTACAAAAAATAGGACATAGTCTTGGGTGTCAGACAGTTCAGCTCTGCCACTTACTTGCTATGAGATCCCATGCACGAAAGACTGCTGTTTTCTATGTGACCTCAAGCAGGTCAGAAGTCCCTCTACCATAGATACAGTACATCCTTCCTGGCGCTTGCGGCTGTTCTGCAAGCCAACAAGGTGAGAAAATACTCAATTCGTGTTCGTTTTCTTCCTTTTATTATAGAAACTGACATCATTTGGAGCTCCACTGTCCCATCTGTCTTTATTTTCTGTTGCTATAGCAAAATACCACAGTCTGAGCAACTCATACATAATAGTATTTTGCCTAGGGTACTGGAGAGTGGAACACCCAGTATCCAGGTGCCAGCATCGGGAAAGGGCTGTTTTGTGTCATCCCCTGGTAGAAATTAGAAGAATGAGAGAGTATGCGTGAAAGAGAGAAGCAAGAGAAAGCAAAACTCCTCTTTATCAGGAGCCTGCTCCAGAAATAACAGCAGTAATCTATCTTAAAGGCCCCATCTCTTAAAACCTGTACATCGATCTAGTTTCCAACACATGAACTTTCAGTCATACCTCCAGACCACAGTACAGCCTCTTGAGACTGTCAGCCTTGCCATTTGCTCCACAGAGACATGATGAGTGCTTCAAACACAGGCAACCGAGACTCGGATTTCACTGTACCTTCAAGAAGAGTGATAATGGAGTCCTAGAAAACTGAACATATTTGATGCATTCCCGCAGGCCCAGACCAGATAGCCTTCACCATGCCCTAGCATTCCTACATCCAATAACTGCATTGGGCTGAAAATTCTCAATCCCCAGGGCATCTTTTTCCCTTTTTCTTTTTTCTTTTTTCTTTTTTCTTTTCTTTTTTCTTTTTCTTTTTTTAAATTTCAGACAGGGGCTCACTATAAAGCCCAGCTTCCCAAGCCCTGGGATGACAGGCATGTGTCATCACATTCGACTTCCCTGGCAGTTTTCAAATTGGTTAGAGAACCCATAGCCTTGTTCGGATTTCCCTTCCCAGTCATATGAACCCCCTTCGCCCAACTCCCTGCCTCCAGGTTCTCCTGTTCCCACAGTTATCCCAAACCCTCCCTGCAGTTATTGCGATCTTTACCCTTTCTCTGCTTCTTAGCTTTTCCTGACTTACACCCTTTAGCATCAGGACTCGTCTCTGCAGCTTTCTTCCCAGATCCAACTCATCCTATGGCCCCTTTATGCACTTCAGTGGGTTAGGACATTACTCAAAGACCCGGGGCATTACTGTTTCCAGGACTTCACTCAAGCTCTTCCTTGCTCATTTCCTCTGCCAACTGAAGCTCATCTTGGGAGGTATCCTCCCCATAAGAACTAGAGGTTCTGGGAGGCGGGGACTTTGTTTTCTGTGTCTATTGATATGAGCTACACAGAGAAGTACTTCAAATAGCTCTTGTCCCATAGTGTCAGATACTTAGTAGAGACCCAACAAATGTATTCTCCTTTCTCTCGAGACTTGGATATGTGTCTTCTCTGAGCCTTCATTCAGTCATCTGTAAAGTGAGGTTCTAAGTTATTCAGTTATTATTACAGTAAGATAATAAGTCATTACCTCCCAAGGCAGTGAGAGGATTAAAGAAGAATGCACACTGGGGGCCAAATAGCACTGTTGCACAATCAAGTGGTCAGCACTCCCCATTTCAGGCCGTGTTCATTTCCACTTCCACATTTGATCCTTTCACCTTTCTCTTCCTGTCCCTGACAATATCCTCCTGATCGTTAGCACAGAGATTTCCGAAGGGGTAGGCTCAGCCAATGCTTGTTCAGTGATTTTATTCACATCTACTCTGACAAGTAGTATTTATCATTGACTTAGTTTCAATTAAAAAAAATCTTAAAAAGCACAGAAATTTCTTTCGGATAATCTAACTCCGTTCTTGGATTTCTGAAAGCACTGAGCCAACCGCCAGCTCTCAGACTTTGGCCATTGCCCTGAAGCACCATGTTTCCGCCTAGAAGGGTTTGGGGCTAATACTGAGAACAGCCAGCCACTGTAGCCTGGCAAGCACACAAAGCTGTAGAGGGCATTTCCTTGTTGAGAATAAGGTCACAGGTGTTTCTCATCCTGTTAACTTTCACCTGCCACTCGGAGAATGTGGAAATCCAGGTGATGCTATACAACTCTATGTAGCAACAGTTTATCATGAGCCATTGCCCCATGCTTTGCGATGTTCTAATCGCCGTCTAATGGGGAGCGAGCCAGACAGATGTGGTACTAATTACACAAGCAAACACAATTAAGACAGTAACAGAGGCACAAGTGTTATGTTGCAAGTGTGCAGAGAAGGAGACTTTTCATCCTGCCTGAGGAACCATCAAAGATATGCTATCAAAGAAGTATTTTTGAAGGTAAGCCTTGAAGAATGAAGGAAATTTGGTAGGCAGAAAGTTGGGGAGCAAGTAATCAAAATAAAGGAACAAAATGGCTGCATACATATATGGTAAGTTGAAGGCTGAATGAGAAATGCATTGAGGTGGTTGGACACCTGATTCCTCTACTTCAGCCTTCTGGCTCTTTCTGTGTGTACCATCTAATGCATTTGTGAAAGGAACATTTTCTGTAGTCTGAATAATTTGTTTTAACTGAAGTCTTTATAGCACTACCATGAATTCTCTTTTAGTCATTATATGTTCAAAAACAAAACCCCATTCATATACTACCACCTCATATCACCCGGTGTCCCTGCAAGTGGTGAGGGGACTAGAGTCTGAGAAATAATGAAAGCAGCATAGGAGTGTGAGACAGGGCTAGGAAATACTTGGGTCTAATCAGGAGAGAACTCGGGAAATACGCTGAGACTTGATTTGCTCAGCAATGGGAAAGTATTGGTGGCTTTTGGAAAAGGCAGGCATAGAACTGTGCATTTCCGAAACGTTGAGCAGCTTCCGAAAGCAGCTGCAGACAGACGGAAGGCTACAGTGGAGACCAGAAGGAATCAGCTCCCAGAGCATAGAAGTAGCAATGGAGATGGGGGGGGGGGGGGGGGGGGGGGGGGGGGGCGGGCATGAGTGGAAGAGATTTCTTCATTTAGGTAAAGGAAGAATGTCAAAGGTGGCCTCAAATTATTGAACACATGACATTTATCCTGAGGTCTGAAAAGTG